TTCCCTTTATCCCCAAGGTTCCTTGTATAACCTTCCCTCCCTCCTCCCATTTAAATAACCCCATTTTTACTCCTATCTCCCTTAGTAACACCTGTTTCCTACTGTTCTTCTCTCTCAGGTTCTTTCTTTTCCTTTACCACCCTGGTTCCTTTTCATTATCCTGGTTCCTGTAGTTAAGAATTAGTATTGTGAAAATGACCATCCTACCAAAAGCCATTTATAGATTCAATGCAATGCCAATTTTTTCTTTGGTAATAATACTCCCTTGCTTTGTCATTCATGTAACTATCTTGAACATAAGTAGCTTTAGCTTGGTTTAGTTAGAAAGGGATTCTTAGTCTGTAAACATTCTGGCTTTGTGGCCTTGTCTGGTATGTTATGGGTAACAGGGCAAGGGCTTAGAGTTTACATGTCTTTTGTCTCCTTGTGGTCCCTACTGGTTCTAATGGAAGTTGGTTTTCCTATCCAGGACAGTAATGTACTCCCTAAGCCAAATGGAGTCCCTACTCTAAAAGAAGTATGATGCTGGCTAGGGTATTAGATTTATATTAAGCAAATTCTCTTCCAACACAGGTACCAGATGTTTCCGGTTGTCTATTTTCTTGGCAGCCATGTTTTATACTCCAAGACAATGTACTATTGTAAAATTACAAATATAGGAGAGAGATGCCTTTCTTTTGTAAGATGAGGAAATATGACTTTAAAAGTAGAAGCTTGAGTTTTTACATTTAGAAACAAGTATGTAAGGCCATTGAGGCTTTCAAACTTGATTCTCTTAAAAATCTATGCCAGCTTGTATATTTTTTAACATGACACATGTATGTATAAGACGTCAGCTAAAAGGAAATAACTTTTTAACACTATAATCACTTGAAAAGAATCACAGTAGGATTAATACAAGTAGTATCAGCCTTTGATAGAAGGAATATTAAGTTTTTATGAATTGAACATTTAGATTAATGAGTTTGTTATATAAATTTGGGGTTGATTGTTGTAAAAGAATATACCTAAGTCGGCTTGCTTTCATATTCCTAGACCATTCAAGAAGGTTGATTCCAGTGTGTTGATGCCAAATTAGAGTACTAAATATTAATTTTGAGGGAAAGTTATTCATTTTGCTGTAGGGCTCTGGATACTCTCATACATTTCTTTGTTTATCTTAGTGCCTCCGCATGAATTATCAGCACCTCCTCCCTAACACATATGTGTGAATAGTATATATTTTCATTTCATAGTGTATGAAGACCAACCTATTTGTTTTCTAAGCATATCTTTAATCTAATTTCACATATTATACAGTGACCTACTTCAGACCAAGATCATATGTTTCTATATTGTCCAGGGCATGCATCAATATTTATCTTCATTAATTATCTTGTATGTATCTGTTTTCAATTACCTGCCCATACTTTCCTACAGAAGCTCTCTCATCTATTTTATACTGGTTATTTTCCATCATGATGCATTTATTAGAATAATAGAAATATAGGCCTTATTTTAAATAATTTTAAAACATTTTAATAGGATTTTTGTGATTTTCATACATATAATTTGATGGTATTTAGATCTCCTCCCCTATCTGCACCTTGCCTTTTTGCCTCCTGACCAATTTAATGTACTCTATACCTATAAAATAAGGCCTGTAGAGGCTTATTTGTATCCCCAAATGTCCTTCACTGTGAATCAATCCACTGGACCCTAGTTAACCTCCCGAGTCCCAACCTTGAAAGAAATGGTCTCTCCCCTTCCCAGCAGCCATTGGTTGTCAAAATTTTCTTAGGTTGGGTTGGGATTTCTTGCCCCCTTCCCCTGGTCTGTGCTGGGTTTTTACCTGGTTTGAGCTTACATGAGACTTGTGCATGCTGTCACCATAGCTGTGAGTTCATATGAGTACTGACTAGCTGTGTGGAAAACTATTTCCTTGTGGTTATCCACCACCTCTGGCTCTTAACCATATTTTTGCCCCCTCTTCCACAATGATCCCTGAGTCTTGGGAGGCAGAAGTTTGATGTGGGTTTCCTACTCAGGGATAAGCACTCTGCAGTCTCTTGTTCTCTGTACATTCACCATTTGTGGGTTTCTGTGTCAATCACCATCTGTTGCATAAGGAAACTTCTCTGGTGAGAGTTGAGGATGCATTTATCTATGGATATAACAATAAGTCATTAAGAGTTAGTTTAACATGATAACTGGTAGAAAATTAGTATTAAGTTCTGTCCCATATCCTGTGACCTGTTTAGCCTCAGATTCCATAATATTTGTGCCACTATTGCTCCAGTAGGCATATCTTGGCAGGCCAGTTGTTGTAGTTCACAGGATTCACAACTGGGTAAGGTTGATGATTATTTTTCCTTCTTGTAGCATGCATAGTCCTTTCCAGCACTATGAATGTTAGTCAGTAGCTATGAGGCCCTGAAATTAGCACCAGCTAACATGATTTCTCCTTGTATATAGTATCCTCAGCAACAGGATTTTAACATCCATTTCTAGTGGGTAAACAATAGCAAGGGGCAATGATCAGTATTGTTTGAGGGTATATGGGATCCATGGTTAACAACTTCTAGAGAGGGAGTCCATTCCTGAGGTGTGGGTTTTTTTTAATTGAATTTTTGCAATTTTCACATAACATAGTTTGATGATAGATACCCTTCCCTATCCACACCTGCCCCTACAGACCACACCCAATTTAATGTACTCTCATATAAATGATATGGCTTATAGAGTCTGATTTCTGTCCCCAAATGTCCTTGGACTGACCAAGAGTCCCATTCCTATAAGATACTGTTTTTCCTCTCCCAGGAACCATCAATTGCCAAAAGTTCCTTAGGTCGATTTGGGATTTCTTACTTACTTCCCCATGTCTATGCTAGAAATTTGCCTGGTTTGAGCTTGCATAGGGCTTGTGCATGCTGTCACCATTGCTGTGACTTCGTACGAATAACTGACCAGCTGTCCAGAAGACTGTTTCCTTGTGATCATCCACCCGCTCTGGCTCTTAAAATTTTTCTGCTTCCTCTGTCACAATGATCCCTGAACCTTGGAGGCAGAGGTTTAATATAGGTGTCCTATGTAAGGATCAACACTCTGTAGCCTCTTGTTCTCTACACAGTGGCCATTTGTGGGTTTCTGTGTTAATCACTATCTGCTGCATAAGAATTGAGAGATACATTCATCCTATGTATAGAAGTTGCATTGAAGACATGTCACTTAGGGTTAAGCATCTTACAGACACTTATTCTCTGTGTTTAACCAGTTCTGAAACTCTAGTAGTCTCCATTTGTTGAAAATAGAAGCTTCTTTGATGAGAGGTGAAAGGTACACTTGTCTGTAAATATGAAGATGAATATTTAGAATAAATTAAGATACTATGTTGGGGGCTAGAGTGGTGGCTCTATGGTAAAGAACACTGGCTGTTCTTGCAGAAGATGTGAGTTCAAATCCTAGCACCCACATGACAGCTAGCAACTGTCTGTAACTCCAGTTCCAAGGGATCCGACACCCTCTTCTCTCCTCCATGGCCATTGCACAACATGGGTGTACTTACATACATGCAGGCAATACATGCATGCACATAAAATTTTAAAAATAGAAGATATTATGTTGGTCTAGGGATGTGGCAAAAGTATGTTTTTCTCTAGGATCTATGACCTCTCCAGACATGTATATTTGAAGTCAGCACCAGTTTGATTTCTCCTTATTTGTTCTATAGCTCATGCATGTGGTATCTTCAGCAATAGAGTCTTACCATCTAGTTCTGGTGGATAACCAAGAACAGGGACAATTGCCAGTATCATTTGAGGGTATATAGTACCCCTGGTCAACAGTTTTTAAAAGGGAGTCCATTTGTGGCTTTGGTTTTGTTTTGCTTTTGTTTTTCATTAGCTTATGATGTCTAGAAGGGACAATGTCTCCCTGTTATAGTGTAACTCCTTTAATCTCTTTTTGTAATGTATATGTATGTATTTTAAGAAGCTTCTATAGTGGCCAAAGCCTTATTTTTAAAGTAGTTTTCAATCTATTCTTCTTGTTCCCAATGAAAAAAAGAATGAAATGTTTTCATATGCATTGAGCATATCCTCAGATTATCTGTTTGTTTATTTATTTATTTATTTATTTATTTATTTATTTATTATTTGTGGTCTTTTTTGAGGCAAGGTCTTCCTGTAGTCTTAGCTGCCTGTAACTCCCTATGTAGACCAAGCTGACCTCAGTTTCACAGAGAGCCACCTCCCTCTGCCTCCCAAGTGCTGAAATTAAAGGCATGCATCACCACACTTGGATGTTTATTTTTTTTATTATTATTAAAGTATTTTTTGAGATCCCAATTGTAACAATAAGAATAGCCTTAGGACAGGAAAAAAAAGGGAGAAAGAAAAAAAGCTTTGAAAAATGGAGGCCATGGCAAAGGAGAACCATAATCTTTAAATATATCAGGGCTTTCAAAAGGTGTTTTGCAAATACATCAGGTATAAATTATAGATTTCATTCTCCTTTATAAATGTTAATAAGGAAAAAGAGTTCTATCATGCCTACATTGGCACCTTAATGAGTCATAATCATAGTTTTGTAATTCAGCACAGTGAGGTAAGATTAACACTATTAGCATATTAAAATGTGTGTTCCAGTAAAAAAAAAAAAATTACTGTACGAACATTAGTAGGTCATTTATGCTTGCTAAATTTAAGTTTTCTCATCAGTTTAGTGAAGATTAATATATATGCCCTTTTCTGCTCAAGGAGAGTTTGGGTCACATGATAGTGATAACATGAGAACGTACAGTAAATATAAAGAGAATTGGGCATATAGCGTCGAATTAGTCCTTAGTCCTTTTACTGTTATGCCTACATTTCTTTAGAAGATGGTCTATCTTGATCAAAGACAGATGTTATTAAGTCTAATAAATAGCCCAATAAGGAAGCAGAATGTGAAGGGGGATTGTTTGTTTTCTTTTTTCTTATTCTTTTCTTTTGTTTTTTTATGTTTCTTCCTCGTTAAAACAGTTTTGGTATGAACCATGATGGAATTGGAAATTCTTGTGGGACAAAAGGTCATGAAGCAGCAAAACTTATGGCAGCTCATATTACTGCAAATACCAATCCTTTTTCCTGGTCTGCCTGCAGTCGAGACTATATCACCAGCTTTCTAGAGTAAGTAATCTCTGGAGAGTGATGATGAATTGCTCTAGAAGTGCCTTATTGCTAGAAGCCTAATATGCAGTGCTTCAAATTTTGTTTAATGAGTAACTTTTATAGGGTTCATTTACTCTTTGGGCTGCTCCTACGTACTTCATGAGTCATTGTGGCACATTTTTCCGGGTCATACACAAATGATGAATAAACTAGATGTGGAGCAAGGATACAAGTGTGATGGATTTGCTGAGTGATTAGAATTTTTCAGTAAATGAGGAACGATTTCAGAAAGAACTTATATTCACATAATTTAATAGAGACTAAGCCAAACTTTGATTCAGTGATAAAATACTTCCTTATGTTGGTGAAAAACTGAGTTCTATAGGAGTGTAAAGGTATCTAATTTAGTAACAAATGGCAACAACAACAACAACAACAAGAAGATAAACTTTAGTTAAGAAATATACCCTTTGAGAAAAAAAATACGATCTGTCTTTTCTAGATTTTGGGGGCTACTTTTGCGGTTCTTTAAGGCACATCACAAGAATCTGGGTCTCTAAATGTTATATTTATAAATGAGCTCAAGAATAACTATGTTGAGGAGAAGAGATTTTCTCACGTCATCCATGTGGGCTTCCAGATTGGACTTTAGGACCCAATAGACTTGAGTGTTACTCTCTGACTCTGTGACCCAGGGCATGTTACCTTAACTTTTTAATCTTCAGGGTCTTGAGTTTTTAAATGAATTTAAATAATAATCCTTATACCATAAGATGCTATGTATATAATTATGTACAGTGCTAATATGTATGATCACCTAATTGATGTTCATTAAAATTATAACCAATGCCTGGTCTACATAGTGAGTTCCAGGAAAGCTGGGGCTACAGGGAGACCCTGTCTCAAAAAGACCAAAAAAAATTATAGCCATTACTATTTTACATGTATGCCATTACTTTAGCTGTTTTGTGCTATTTTTTCCCTTTGGGAAGAGAGAATAAATACTCTGGAATAAAAAGCATACTTAAAAGATATACAAACTATGGAAATTCTTTTTTAGAAATTGGCTGATTTTATAGTTTATATTAGCATAATTATGTTATAATGTTTTACATTCAGATAGTTTATGTAAGATAAATTGTGTATGAACATTTTCTTTTTATCTATGAATAGTCAGGTCATCATATTCTGAAAACTTAGAACTGTGCAATGTTTTTGTTATTTTTGAGACAGGGTCTCTCTGTAGCCTCAATTGACCTGGAAGTTGATATGTAGACTAGGCTGGCCTCAGTCTCATGGAGATTTGCCTGCTTCTGCCTCCTGAGTGCTGGGATTAAAGATGTGTGCACCATGCCTGACTAATTATATAACTTTTAAAAAGACTGAAGAAATTTTAAATTACCTAGCACAATACTTTATTCAAAATACAAAAGATAAAATTTGAAAATAGACCTTAAAATTAATTAGTACAGTAATGGAATTCATTTCAGAAAGTTGTTTTGAATAACTATATTATAGACTAACAATTTTTAGTCTTAGTAGTAAAAACTTATAACGTTGTACTTGCTTAGTGCCAAACTAGATGAAGTGCTATAAAACAGATCACAGAGAATTTGTTTGACATCTTTGGTAGCTTTTAATACAAAGGACTGGCAATATCATTTTCCAAGATTTTTTTTTTTTTTTGGTCGTTTTAGAAACAGGGTTTCCCTGTAGCCTCAACTGGCCTGGAACTCACTATGTAGACCAGGTTGGCCTTGAACTCACAGAGATCCACCTGCCTCTGCCTCCCAAGTGCTGGGACTACCACACCCAGCTTTATTTTCCAAGATATTTTTAATGAAATTATTTACCTAAATTTTAAACACTATTATTAATGTGCTCTCTCTAGAAACAGCCAGATCTGAATTTTCTCTGTTGACTTGGATTAGGTTTTTAGAATAAAACCTTAATCTCTATCATCATAAGGACAAATTGCATAACACGATCAGTATTTCTGTATATTTTCAATGACAACCCTTCTCTTGTTTTTTAAAAGTACCGTTTCCTTTCCCCTTGTATTCTGTTTCTGTCCCATTGACTGTTGCATAGCTCATTAGCTAGCACCAGTTCTGTATACTAAATACAAGGACCCAGTCTTATAGTCCCATGCCTTAGACATGTAATAAATTTTGAATTTTTTCCTGCTCAATATACATACAAAAATATAGATATGTGGATTAGTTTTGAACTCCTGCCAGATCTTGTATAGTTGAAGCCATATTATTGCTGTTAAGGTACTATAAAAGGGAATCTCTAAATTGCTGATAGAATGCAATTAAGAAATCAACACTGGCTTGGTGAGAGATGTAAATTATTAGGTAGTTGCATTCAAGTGTTCTATTGAATTAATTAATTAAAAATACATTTTTTACTCTTAATTGCTTCTGTGCATCTTGTATATGTAAGCATGAGTGTTGACAGGCATCTAATGGGCATATTTATTCTGCATTTTATAAAAATATTTCTCTTATGTATACTCCTTGAAGTTAAAACCACTAGAAAAAGGACTAATGTGAAGAAATAGGCTTGGGAGAAAAATTGGCTTTCTCCCTTCTCTTCTAATAAACTAAATAAATCTGACTATAATTTCTCCAAACAATAAAGGGTTTTAAACACAAGACTCTTTTAAAAAGTTCAGTTCACTGGAACACAGAGACATTATAGTAACTTTTTGAATTTCTTTGTTCCATTTTACTATGCAATGAACTTAATTACTTTAACAGCTATGGATGATATTTTTAAAATCCAGAGATATTTTGATCAAGGACTGACGTTACATTTATGTTTTGTAGTTAGCTTGAAAAGGTTCACAACACTTTATTTCAGCTTCTCTTTTCAAGAAAAAGAAATCTTGAAAGATGAATTGTTTAGGAACTGCAGCCCAGCCAAAAAATGCATACCTTTCTCTACTTAGTGATTGTATAGGTCAAAGATGATGGTGGCTTTAACAATGAGCTTTCTATGATTTATAGAGATTCACTATTCACTGTTTAGCTGAAAAAAAAAAAATCCATAGCCTTAAAATGCCAGTAGAATTCAAAGTCTCTCATGTCATTCTGCAACACTAGATGCTATTGATCAATCAGGAGATGGTGTTTACCAACTCCCAATATTTTTTTTCAGATTTCTTAAACTCGGTGATTCAGTAAGTGGTTCATGAATCGCCCAGAAGCCGTCCTGATTAAATAATAAAGAACCCATTTCCGTTAAAATGGACGTGTTATGCCAGCTTCTGATGTTTTCCGAAGACGGCTTTGCAGGTAGTGTCTTTCCTATCTGCCTGCGGGATTCATTTATTTACTTATTTAGAAAATACAGAAAAATGAACCTGGTATTAAGGCTAATTTACCAGGCAGTGGAAGGCAGCTAACTATAATTTAGGCAAGTTTTCCATTCATTCCCCACCATATAGAAGTAGTACAGACTAATTTCATATCATTTCTAAAAGATATGGGGGCCTTGTGAAGCAACTCTTACCCTATTCATAGTTATTTAAATTGCTTGAACTATCAGATTTATATTAAAATTTCCTGCAGTTCCAAGTTAAATGGAATACCCATTTTCACCCAAGGATGGAATTTAATTGAATGCATTGAGAAGCTATTTTATGACTGAAAAGAAACTAGGAAGAGGGGTAAGAAAAACGATATATGATGGACAAGATGTCAAATGCACTCCTATTTCCTCTCTAGAAATTGCTTTTGAAGGTTGCTATCAATCTACTAAATGGAAAACATCTTTATAGATAGGACCTTTCTAAAAAAAAAAATGTAGTATCCAAGAAATAACTTGGCAGAACAGGTTTCTCCTCCTTCCATTTATTTGACACATTTTGAGAACCTTATTCTAACCATAAATACCTTTGACAAGTCACAATAATATATGGCATGGGTGTAGAGTAAACCATTATCAGTAAATGATTTGTATATTGTAAGCCTCAAGTTCAATTACATTCAAACATCCATGTTGTACAGTAGGTGAAAGAAATAAAAAGTTTGACTTTAGAGTATGCATTTAAGTTTACACTTACCTGAAAATATCATAACACTATTATTTTAGGTAAAACATTGTTAGTCTTATGAAAGTTGGTCAGGCAGCTTCTGAAAAGAGCAGATAAATGACATTTAGCTTGCTGAAGATGATATCAACCTAATGCATGCTTAATCTCCAACTTTGTAGAAAAAATAGGAAGTGGCATTAAATCAAAGTTTTGTTGCTGTTGTTAAGACACTATTAAGATATGTACAGGGTTAGATTTCTTTTCAGGCCAACATACTGTAAACTAAAGGTTTATACTTTATACTCTGTTTTAGTAAGGATAGACCTAAAATCTCAAATAGGAGTATGCCCTCATGTGTTCTGGAAGCAAAAGCAGGAGGATATGTTTTACAAAGAGATCAATAAATTTTAATGGAAGACAACTTTGGCTTATGTTCTTATTTTCAAGATTATGTTACAGGCTACATAAATAAAAACTCTCCAAATGAAAAGTAGAATACATAAAATATGACTTTCCCATCATATTGAAAAGA